TTCTTTAGGAATAAAATGTATTGGAAACTATTTCATCATCCAAAATCATTGCATGAAGGAAAAGAGATAAGCACTTAAAAGAAAAATATATATTAATAAGTATTGTTGAGACTATTTAGTGCTACTGGTGGAGAGGTGAGGAACACAATAAGTGTAAATATTCAATATACGGTTGTCACGTTGCCAGATAATAATGGAACTTACACAAATAAATAGGAATGGGTATTATTTATTAACTTGTTTAAACAAAACTAGCCCCAGTGCCTCACATGTAAATACATCCCGGGATTGTTTGGTTGTGGATGACCCCTCCTGTATCTCTGTTCTCTCAGGTATCCTGAAGCAGGTGAAGGACGTCATCAGAGAGTGTCCGGAGTGTCTCAACAGACGCAGCTCAGATGATGGCGCTGGAAATCGACTTTTCGCCCGACCGGCGCGACGCAGAACGACCACCAACGCTAACGATGAGGCGGAGGAGGAAGAGGAGGAAGAAGAGGGAGATAGCTTAGTCTTCGCTGACCCGTCTTCTCAACAGAGACACAAAGTGACGGCCAAACAGGAACTCGTCTTTGTAAGTTTCACCTATTTACCTTTTTGTTTAAGTCCAGATAATTACAAAGATGGGATCTTGTTAAATAATAAAAATTAAAGCTAAATAAATGTAGCCTTTTTTCAAATTGAGCTTGGTTTAGAAGCAACCTGAGCTAACTGTGTCAAATGATATGACAATGTGATTAAAATAATATTAGTTTTCTTTTATAAATCGACTAATGGATCCATAAAAACCAACATAATAATTAAGGCATGTCAGTCAAATATTCAAGCTTTTATTTTCATATTACTATCTGGCTTCTCTCACAATGCAACATACAATATACTCTACACAACAAGAAAAATACTTAAAGGGGACCTATCATGCAAAATGCACTTTTGTACGTCTTTTATACATGAATATGTGTCCCCGGTGTTCCAGGGAACTCACCAAGTGTCAGAAAACACAACCCTCTCTATTTTCCTCCATACCCAAATCTCTAAAAAAGGGGCTGCAACGGATCTGATAAAAACTGATCCAGATTTGAACACTGTCCTGACGTCAGGACGGTGGCGCTACGGCTATTGGGCCAACTCTCCACCAATCAGGAGGAGACAGCCACGGCCATTGCCGTTCGAAAGCGCTGGAGACGCTGTAGTACATATGCCAGGCCTGTAGGTGGTGCTGTTCTCACTGAATCTGCCCTTGCAAAAACAGAGCTAGAAATTGTCAAATTGAGCAAAATGAGGCATGGCTAAAATGCATGATCTGTTTGGTACCACTTTAAAATAGTGCATTAGACATATATGGTGCAAGTAAGTTACAGGAGAAAGAAAATATATACATATAAATCAGAATAAGGTGGAAAAACAAGTCAAATGAAAGAGTTTAAATTAGAATAAATACTATAGTTACATATTACTATTTAGATATGTGGATTAAGCAGATGTATTGATGACCAGTGATGATGATACAACATATATTATAAACATGGCATCATTAAACCTTTGTTCTCTGTGGTCAATAAGCAGTTATCTTGAGCGAAGGTGATGTAAAAAAAGTGAACATCAAAAGAAAATATAACGAGGACAATGTTAAAATTACAGCAGCAGCAGAAAATATGCTCCAAATACTTTTTTTGTTTGTTTTTGTATACAATTGTATCTTTGCTCACATAATAGATGGTTGTAATTACTGTAAATACATTAGCAATGGGACTAGGTTTATATGGTTAACATTGATGACCGGTTATTATTGTTGACATGTGTTGATTAGATTTTGAAGGTGTTTTAATGTGTGTGTTTCCCAGGTGGACAGTAAGGGCGAGGTGAATCAGTTCCTGCCCAAACACAGCCAGACGATGCTGGACAAACTGAACCAGCAGCGCCTCACTAACCAGTTCTGTGACATCACGCTGCTCATCGAGGGAGACGAGTACCGAGCGCACAAAGCCGTCCTCGCCGCCTGCAGCGAATACTTCAACGAGCTCTTCTTCGAGAAGGGAGCCGCGTCCACACACGAGGCCGTGGTCGACCTGTCCGGTGAGAAATGTTGTCTTTGTCGTATCGTAGCAAAGCATTATGTTGCTGTGAAGGCTGTGGCTGAGTGAGATAGTGCGCTGACACTTTGGATCCCCTAACCCTAACCCTAACCCTAACCCTAACTACCTACCTACCTACCTACCTACCTACCGACCGACCGACCGACCGACCGACCGACCGACCGACCGACCGACCGACCGACCGACTCAGGAAGGACACACGGTGAGAGTTGGAGCTTTGATGTCAAACACTGATGGGTTTATTCAGAGTATTCGGCCGGAGGATTCACATCACAAACCAAAGAGTCAGAGGTTCTGACCACACGGTAGAGTTGCCACGTCAATTCTGAAGAGCCTCTCTCTATGCTAGACCTTTTAACAGGTTCACAGAGAGAAATCAACATCTCTGAAGGAGTAGACTAAACACTGAATCACCTGCGTCCGACGCTCATGGCCTCAAGGATTTCACATCCTAGAGCCCACAAACACCGATAAAGAAATGCTTCAGTGTTCCCACAACAATTACCCTACGTGCCAGTCAAGTTGACCGGTCTCACACTGGGGACAACAACACATATGGCACCAAGGCCTTTCCTTAAAGGAGATAACACATGTCAGAGTAAAAGGTTAGATATCTAGAAGAATTATTCCTTAACAGTTCCTCTCTTTTTATCATTTTTGATAACCTTAAAACCAGTGGCGGCCGGTGGTCTTTTTTTTTGGTGGGGCTCTTGACGTACCGTAAGTGACCTACCCGGGGGGTCCGGGGGTTTCCCCCCCGGAATTTTTTTTCGAGAAATGACCCCTTAAATGATGACTTCTGGTGATGTTAGAGGGGGGGGGAAAGGAGAAATCGAGGCTTAAAAATATGAGAAGACTGATCAATACCTCCATAATCTTCAGTGTGGACATCTAACATCTACTACTTTACCAGGAATTTGTGTTCTCAGAACTGGTCTGTTTTTTTCTTTCTTAAAACTGTTCATGTTTTATGAACCAACACCTTCACCAAGTAGCTTTACAGTGAACTGCATGTGAGATATAAAATTAATAGCATCTTTTCAGTAGCATTAATTATAAATATTTAAGTGGTTCAATACAAGTCACTACAGCATTTCAAACTGAACTGTGAATAAATGCAATTTAAAAAAAATAACCACAGCACAAAATGTCATAAATTGTGTTTTTTCTTTGTTTCTCTGAGGATTATTTACAAACAGGCTTATTTACATATAGCAATAACTCAGAAATGAAAAAGCTACATCGTCTAACACGAACAACCAGTTAGCATAATGATAATATATGTGTTATGTACAATGTAACTGGAAAGGCTAGAGCAAGAAAGAACATAAAGTTTGCAAAAGGTTTAAATAACTTCAAGTATCTGTCTTCAGATTACGTGGAGGTTTTAGTCCGATGGGAAGCAGATTTTAAGCGACACCGAAGATAAACCAAAAATGTGGTGGAGCTGCAAACCGTGTAGTGTTGCTGGGACAGAACAGGAGCTATAACCGTTGGAAAATACATCACAGACAATGCAACAAACGTGGAGACAGAACAATCACTTCTGTGATAAATGCCCACTTATTAATAAACTTCTAACAACCATGGGAAACCTCCTCTCTACATATAAAGTGATATCCAAGCATGGGAAACAAAAGACAGCATTTACCTGTTTGCATCCAGCTAGCCAAGCCTTTCTTGTGTACCAGCTACTAAGCCTCGTGTATAAATGTTGTCTTTTTCACGAGATTGCTGCGATATATTCAAATCGGGTTGGTCCGGTGCAAGGTCTTTAAGCAACAATTTATCTGCCAAACTTCTCCTTTCGAAAGGATTGGAGATTAGCTCTTGAACAGAATTAGCCGGGGACCGAGGTCCGGAGACTCCACCTGCACACGAAGCCATCCTCATCAACTACTGCGTCAACCGGATACGAGTCACTGTCCAAACTACTCACAGACTGCACTGGGCGCTGACATTGGCGCCCGGTGACCGTCATCTTTGACGACGCTGATTGGCTGAAATTATATTTTCGCGGCATAGTTTACACGTTACAGATAGCAACAGTCAGCTGCTGGTGGCTGCTGCTGCACTGGTTGAAGGCTCCTCTCTTAGCGCCCAGACGAGAGAAGGTGCATGGGCAAGGCCAGGCAGGAAACATGTGACTTATCAGTAACTTTAGACATCGTAACACAATTTTAAACGAGATTTTATTGTAGATTATACATTTTACTGATACCAATTATATAATATTTACCTTGTTCATTAAAAATAAAAATAAAAACATATATATTTTTTTAAACATATATATTTTTTTTAATTTTAATTTTAATTATTATTATTTTTTTTTTTTTTCAATATGGGAAGAGGTGGGGCGGCGCCCCTAGCGCCCCTATGGACCGGCCGCCACTGCTTAAAACATTAGTCTAATAATTCTGGTCAATACTTAAATCAATAGGCGTCTTCAGATTCGAGTGTGGTCTCACCTTACATTCAATTACATCACAAAGTAGAGTAAGATTGAAACATTCAATCACAATGATTGATACAGGCAATCATAATAGGAACAATGATCTCTCATCAGTGTTTGGAGCATCTTTTGTCAAAAGCATAATAATGAACACGCATAAAACACAGATACATAATAGCAAAATATTTGTTTTAAACTAATATCTTTTATCATTTAAACCATTAGTTAATGTCATTTATCAAACTATAAAATCAAAACCAGAAACAGCTTAAAGATTTGCTTTAAGGCAATCACTAGTCAAAAGCATTTAAAACTTAGGATCATAAGAGATCCAGCTAAGGTATACAATTCACAGTGGTGATTTGATCAATCTGTAATCGGCAAAGTTGCAGTGTCCTCAATTTTTGGATTACTTTACGTTTACTTCATTACGCTTTAGTCAAGAGTAAGGCACTTAGTCTTAGAAAAAATCAATACATTCATTTTAATCAAATACAGTGTTCAAAATCTGAAAAGGAAAAATCAGATATTTGTCGTGTAGTGTAACAACCTGAAAGGGAAAAGTCAAAATATCTTTTCTTTAATCTAAGCATCAATTTTAATTCATTGGTCATTGTAAGGGGGAACCCATGGTTCGGAAACCACGGCAGCGACCCACGGGTCTGGAAGCTCGGCGTCGTACATCATCACGGTGTCATCAACGGTAGTGTACCCCACTAGTCTCTGTGGGGCCTGGAGGGCGACTTTGGTAATCTTTCGCAGGACTAGTTTAACTACAGTGACTAGGCATATTATCAGGATTAGCACACCTAGGATAAACACTGAAATGGTAACAATGAATTTTACAATCCCCCCTCCCCATGACCCAAATGTTCCAGTTAAATCCCCAAATGCAAACCCATGAGTTTCGTGCAATTCTTTTATTCCCCTAGCAGTATCATGAGCCATATCCATGACCTCAGGTGTGGCATCAGAGATGAAAGAACAACACTCAGATCCAATCACCTTGCATGTACCCCCCTGTGCTGCTAGTAGAAGATCCAGTGCCATGCGATTCTGTAATGCCACTGTTCTAACTTCCTGCAGTTCTTTGTGTTCAGCTAACATGGCTGTGTTGGACACATTAAGGTGCTTCTCCACAACCTTGGAGAGAGCTATAATTTCCTGCTGGGAAACATAAATACCGTACCAGGGCAGAAATGCGCTAGCCAGCCGCTGACCTGTTGTGATGGTTCTACGAGTTCTGTGTAGGGCAGGGAATATTGCTGCAATCTCCTCAGTCTCTACTTTACGGATCAAAGGGATTAGATAGGCTAGATAACAGGTGCCATCAAAAGTATCATAAGGCATGCAACCGTAGGCTCTGTTCCCACAAACCAAGTAAACCCTCTCTGGAAGGGGAGTTCTGGTTAACTTGATCTTTACTACGGTGTTACAGTCGCTGTGGCCCACATCGTTAGAGGGTGAAAACCCTCCTCCGCTCTGGAAGCAGATGGACACATTCTTCCACTCATGCACCACAACTGGGGGAACATAAACGGAACAGTCACGTGTAGGGGATTTACCTAAGGGTAATGGCAGTGAACAGTCATGTATTTTAACTTTCACTGAGTCCACTGTACGGACGCCAAACCAGGGTACAACTGCTACCAAGGCTTCAACCAACAAAGATGGTGTGTGCGGTTGAGGTGAACATGTTGGACTTGTGGAAGTGGCTGAGCAATTAGTCTGGACTAGAGCTAATTGGAATCTGTATTCAAAAGCTAGTTCAACGTATTTCTTCACATATATAAGTTTTAGAACCCTCAACCGTTTGAAACCGTCTGGCAGGTAGTCTTTATTTACTGTGTCAACAATGAGCGAGATTAAGCCATTGTACTTTAAAGGTTGCTCAAAGTCTATGGGGTAGGAAGGGGTGTAACAATCATCTGCATCCTTGCTAATTCGGGATGCTATATCACTCCAGGTGACTAAACTGTAGTCAGCTTTTGTGAAAGGAATTGGGCTGAACATGGGAGAGTACATGGATTCTGGCATGTTCTGGCACAGCCAACAGTTGCTAACCTTGCGTTCATGTGCATAGTCTAACATTAAACTCATTGCGGAATTGGTTTGAGTTTGTTTAGGTGGAGTAATTAAGGCATTTTTTGAAGAGTCTACATCACTCTCTGGTGACTTAATTACATCTGAACCTGGTTCACTAATGCCGCGTTTCCACTACACAGCCTCGCTCGGCCCCGCTCGGCCTCCTTTGGCCGCGCCCGGCCTCGTTAGGACCAGCTCACTTTGTGGCGCGTTTCCATTACAGTTTAGGAACCGGGTCAGTATCTATAGTAACGCAGTGTAGGCGGAGCGACGCTGCTTAAAACTGCCGTGACGTCATCTTCAATGCGACAAAGCGACACAACACACAACAATGGAGGATGTTGAGAAGATCGTTGGCTTGTTGCTTGCTGTGTGGTTCTTTATCACAACAAATAGTCAAGAGATGACTCGAAAGAGGCGACTTGTAGCAAGACGAGGTATAGAGGCAGCTGACGCGAGAGTTCTGGCAGCCCGCAGAGACTACTGGAGGACTCTAACTACTACTACTACTACTACTGCTACCAATACTTCTTCGAGACTACAATGCTACTTGGTAAGCTAACGTTCGCTAACTAGCAATGTGTTTAGGCTCACGCTCCCCATACGACCAAAGAATTTCAAGTATTTAATTAATTGTAGCTACCACTTTTACGTATTAAAATATGTATGCTTTTGTTTGTGTATTTCAGAAGTTACTTCGCCGCCCTAGACCATGCGTTTGGATGGTCGACCGAGCTACCGAGTGGTGGAATGTGATTGTTCCATCTTTCACACACACTCAGTGGGTGGAGAACTTCAGGATGTCTGAAGAAACCTACGTCTACCTGTGCAACAAACTGCGGCCAGCGATGGAGAAACAGGACACATCATTCCGCGTGTGTATACCTTTTAAGAAGAGAGTGGCCATCGCACTGTGGAAGCTTGCTACCGGCTGTGACTACAGAAGCATAGGACATCTTTTCGGAGTGAGCAAGACAACTGTGTGCCGGTGTGTGCAAGACTTCTGTGCTGCTGCAGAGACGTTGTTAGTACCGGAACTAATTCGTTCACCAGACCGGGAGAAATTTGCAGAAATGGCTGCCTACACTGAGAACAGGTGGGGGCTCCCTCAGTGTGTAGGTGCTATTGATGGATCACACATACCCATCTTGGCACCACAGGAATACCACTGTGACTATTTCAACCGTAAAGGCTGGCACTCCATCATCCTTCAAGGAGTTGTTGATGGTAAGGGACATTTCTGGAATGTGTTTGCAGGAATGCCTGGGAGCATGCATGACGCTCGGGTTTTGAGACTGTCCACATTGTGGGAGTTGGCCAGTCGTGGCAACTACTTTCCAGCTTGCACCAGGAACATTGGTGGGGTGAATGCTGGCTATTACATCCTGGGAGACAATGCCTATCCCTTGCAAAACTGGCTCATAAAACCCTTCGCTGACACTGGACGGCTAACAGAAGAACATGTGACATACAACAAGAAGATTTGCAGAGTACGGGTAGTGGTTGAAAACGCTTTTGGTAGACTGAAGGGAAGGTGGCGTTGCCTCATGAAAAGAAATGACTGTGATGTGAAACTTGTTAAATCAATGGTGCTGACATGCTGTGCTCTGCATAACCTCTGCGAGAGTCATGGAGAGACCTATGATGATGGGTGGGATGCACCAGCAGCAGCAGAGCCAGGGGTAGCAGTGGCACAAGGTGCAGAGGAGGAGGGCAGGGACATACGAGAGGGTCTGATGCGCTACCTGAATCCATAAAGTCATTGTATGGTATTGAACATAAATAAAAAAAGAATGTTTCACATACATGTGTTTGTCAAATTATTTAAACCCAAGAAATGTTATCAGAATTGACTATTTAGTAAATATTTGAATTTCAAGCACCAGTATTTACTGCCCCATAAAAATAATAATAATCTAAGCAAACTATAAACATAAATACAACAGTGTAAAACACAGAACTATATTCAGCTTCAAGGTTTTGTATTTTGTCATACGAACATAGCTACAGTGTAGTTATAGTTTATTTTGTTCTCTTTTAAATATATAAGCAATGTATGAGTCTAGCACAACGAGGGTATTACAATTGAGTAATTTTTACTACATGTATTCATAATACCATTACAAAATATGTAATGTGGATGAAGCTACTTTGCATTTTTATGCGGATGACACCGTGATGTACTGTGCAGGTCCCTCCATTAAGGAGGCTGTTGTTAAATTACAGGCTGTTTTTAACATTAAATTACAGGCTGTTTTTAACATTATTCAGACTCGGCTCTCTGAACTAAAGCTTCTTTTAAATGTTGAGAAAACCAAGGTAATGCTCTTTTCTAAAGCTAAAAAGACTCCAGAGACTGCTTTGGATATTGTGACTATGCAAGGACAAGTACTCCAAGTGGTTAGCTATTATAAATACCTTGGTATCTGGCTTGATGATTGTCTTACTTTTAAACTTCACGTCACTAATCTGCTTAAAAAGCTGAGGGTTAGACTAGGTTTCTTTTTCAGAAACAAGTCCTGTTTCTCTTTTGAAGCCAGGAAAAGGCTCTGTGACCTTTTTACCTGTGCTAGACTATGGTGATCTGATCTATATGAATGCACCTGCCCATTGCCTGGAAAGGTTAGATGCCGCCTGTCACAGCGCTCTGAGATGTGTTACTAACTGTAAAGCACTTACTCATCACTGTACCCTGTATGCCAAGGCAGGTCTGCCTTCACTTACTGTTCGGAGGCTCAGTCATTGGTACATGTTCATCTACAAAGCCATGCTGGGTAAACTACCTTCTTATATCTGCTCCTTGATCTCACAGAGTGGCAAGTAGCTATTGCCTGAGATCACAGGATGTGTTTTTATTACATGTGCCAAGTGCTAGGACTGTTTTAGGTACTAAAGCTTTTATGTGCGCTGCTCCTCTGGCTTGGAACACCATGCAAAAAACATTGAAACTGAGCATTTTGATTCCCTTGCATCGTTTTAAAGCACGGCTGGATGAAATGTTATTGGATACCTGCAAATGTAAATAGATGCTAATGTATACCCCTGTAATTATGTTGTGATGTCCTCTTGTTTTCTGTTTGTTTTTATATGTGTAACTCAATGTACCGCAGGTCTCCCTTGTAAAAGAGATCGTTGATCTCAATGGGATTTTTTTAACCTGGATAAATAAAGGCTACAAACAAACAAACATGATATTTCTGACTGACGAGGGACGCCTAGATGATGCCATCTTTCTGTGTGATCGCTGTTGGGTGCAATTATTTATCAACAAGCAATAAGATAAGTCACTTTATTGAACACAAAGTGTTTTCTTGCAGCAGCATAAAAAAGGCATGGCATTATACAAAAAAAAAAAATGATTGTATTGTATTACAGATAAAAAATATACAAGAAACTACAGCCATAGGTTATTGGTTCACAGAGGCGGAGGAGACTGAGCGGACGTTCCCCCTAGCACCTGGCAAATAGTGCGCATGAAGGATGCATTAAAGCTCTCTACGCGAGCCATCTCCTCCCTTCTCAAGGTGGCTTCCAACAGCCTCGCCTCCCTCGCCTCCACCAGGGACTGGTTCATGTACTGAGCCTGCAGGGCCCGGTCTTCCCTCAGCTCGGCATGGATCTTCTCCTGCTGGGCATGGCTCTTCTCCTGCTGGGCCAGGTTCTTCTCCTGCTGGGCCAGGTTCTGCTCCTGGTGTTCCTTCTGCTGGGCCAGTTGCAGTTCCAGTTCCTCTCGTCTCCTCTTGCCTGGGTGACAAGATAATAATATAAATAATTAGCAATAACAATGAAGAAACACAGGTACAGGTCACACAAGGATATAAGAATAAAATGTATAAACAGAACAGTAAGGATGAATTAAAGAAAGTTCTGGCCCTATATACTAGCTGCTTACTAGCTAGTTACTTTACTTGTAACTAAGCATTCGCACACAGTGGTACAGCTTATTTTACTACTGACGATGGATGGTCTACATTTTATTTTAAAAGTCACAATTCCAGCCTATTTCTTACCTAGAACCACACGCGGTGTCGAGCTGGCACTCGGCGTTGGTGTCTGTGCTCGAGCTGGAGTTTGTGCTGTAGATATGGATGATATCGATGCACCGGACGGTGTTGGTTCATCCTCGTTATTCAAAACGTAATCATCTAGAACAGAAACATGACTTGTTAATTCCACAAACTACTGCAGCACAATACTATAAATAGCAACAACAACTATAGAAAAGACAAACTGAACGTAAACAATGGCACATGTGGTGTTAGCAAACACTAGCTCTAGCTAATGCTATCTGCCTTAGCTAGCTAGCCTTCGGGGCTCCATAAAACCATGGGTTGTCGAACATAAATGTAAGGATAAAATAGACTTATTTGTTAGAAGTGAGCTTTAGAACAGATAGGGACACAAAGGTTCCAAGAAAATAACAGAGCGTTAGCAAAAACTTACCATTCATAGACTCCAGTAACGCTGTTGCTGAGTCGAGGCCTCCCTCCCTCCCAACGCTAGCCGGTCTATGGCCGTAAATGCTGTTCATGAGGTCGAAACACTTCCAGTTTTTCCTAGCGGCCCCACTGGTGTTGTTGTTGTCCTTCACCAAGCGATATTCACCCTTAAGCTTTTTAAGTTTTTCCCTACACTGCACGACAGTCCTGGAGTACCCGCTTGTGGCCATTAGTGTAGACACCTCCTGAAATACTTTAATATTTCGAGTCATCCCGTCGAGCTCCCGCTGGATCTTTTCATCAGATATGTAATGGAGGAACGTCGTGACTTCCTCGACCGACCATGGTGTGCTTTTCTTTGCCATTGTTAATCCTCTGTTGACAAAAATGCTGCAAGCATCGCTATATATATATGCGACGCTAGGGATTATCTCGCGCACGATTGTGACGATTCTCTCCGACCAATCAGCAGCCGAGAGCGTTGACGTCACAAACTCAGCCCGGTTGCCTCTGGCCCTGGCCCCACGATTTTATGAGGCCAGAAAAACTGTGAATTAGGACCAGCCTGCCGGTACTAGGCCAAGTGGAAACGCAACCACAAACGGGCCGCTGACGTCACAGCCCTCTTAAACCGGGCTGCGGGCTGTAGTGGAAACGCGGCATAAGGCCCCGCTCACACGGGACCGTTTGCGTTTATGCACAGTATGCGTATTCAAAAAAGTCTTCCGTTCACATGCATTTGTTTCATTTAACGTGTCTGTTTAAACGAGGCCGCTGGAAACGCTGTAGTACATATGCTGGGACTGTAAGTGGCGCTGTAACTTCCGCCAAAATACACCAAAAGCCACGAAGAAGAGCAGCCTGGAGCAGCCCCGCAGCAATGTTGCCATGGCTACCCTTCTGTTTAAGCCCTGAAACTGAAACTGAAAGAAACCGAATCTGTTGTTGCTGATGGTTGTGGTAGAGGAGCTGTATATTTTTGCACTAATATCTGTAGCATGGTCAGTAGCAGTAGCACTAGCAGTAGCTACTGACAGGAGGAAGTCAGTGTGTGTGGCGATTGCTGGTATTCAGCGGGATATAGTAATTTCCTCAGCATATGGATAAATGCAACGGGGAAGTTAACTGAAAGAAACCAAGAAGCACGTCTCTGTGGATATTGCATCGAGAGGACGGCTCAGAAAGAGAGATATTCTCTACAAACACCGGGTGAGATGCACCTTTGTCAATATAATGGATCAATGCATGAAATCTGACTCTGTTTATTTTGTTTAAGGAGTATATTGGGCGTTAACAATTCTGGTTTGCCTTTTATAATATTATTTCATTCAAGAACCCCTTGTGCGTTTAATTAACACAGCTATTTTTGATAGTTGCTAGTACAGCAGTGAGCAGGAGAGGCGGGGCTATCGTTATTTTTTCAGGAAATATTCGTATAGAGGTGATTACACGGACTCGGTTGACCCCCCAGAGCGTTTCGTTTGCAAATCTATCCACCTTGGGACCCGTTATTGTTTGTGGGGTCAGTTTCTATCGGCCTCGTGTAAATAATAGGGCTATACGCACGCGAAACTATGCAGATACAAGCAGTTTTCTCCTCGTGTAAACGGCGCCTAAATGAACATCTAGTGACCCCTGCACTGGGATCTTTGTAATTTGGTGTCCATGTGGTACACATGGGATCATCCTTTAATTGTTCCTTAGTGAAACACCACATTTCTGGGGGCACATTTGCAACAGTGTTGAGTGTTATTCTTACCATCCGCTGTGAGACCCGCTGGTACCCCGTCTCTGGATAGACGTTCCACGCCCACAAGCCTTTGCTTAAAAACACAGGAAACACAACAACACAGTCATTTGAGTTACATTTTGTAGTCGGACATTCAAAGGAAATATTCTGTGACCCTCTCTTGGGGATGAAAAGGGGTTTGGCACTGAAAAGAGCAGGAAGAGAGAGAAGCCTTCTCTCGGGGCCCACTTTCCTCCTTCTTCTCACTCTTTTTCTCTCTCGCACCATACTGAATGTTTGTGTGGTGCTCGAAAACAACCTGTCTGTGCCCTTAGATAAGAGCACCTTATACTCTCCCTCTGAGTGGCGAGAGCCCTCGCCACCTGTCGTTGGGATTGCCTCAGCGTCGTCCAGCAGGGCTTCCTTGGCCAGGTATAGCAGTACAAGGAGTATGAGGACCGCCTTCACACGCCTACACCCTGACCCTCCCCACTGACCGGTGGAGGAGACAGACGGCATCGTGAAGTGTGGATCCACTCTGTCCTACCTTGGACTTTTAAGGCTGTTCTAGTCACTATTAACACCTGGAAAGGACCTTTCCACCTGGGAGACAAAACATCTTTTTCAAGAGACTTGATTAGCACATTATCTCCGATCTGAAAAGGGTGTGTGGGCTCCTCTCCAGGCTGAGGGAGCCTGTCAGCCACCTGCCTGTGAAACCTTCTCAACATATTGGTTAGATATTTCACATAGTTAGTCATTGAACATGCAAGAATCATATACTCATCAGTCCATAGCAGAGAAATGTTATTGTAAGTTAAAGGTGAGCTTGTCCCTGTGGATATAACCCCTTCTCAATGATTCTAAATGTATATTAATTCACCATTTACCTTTTGATAACATATTAGTTTATCAGAAATATTTAGTCTCTTCCATAAAACATAGGTTTGAGAAATAAATTACCCAATATAAAATCAATTACTCAATATAATTGACTCTTCCCTCCCTTTTCTTACATATGAAATAATAACTTAGGAGTCTATTTAAACATGGTATAGTTTATAATCTATTAATCGAGAAGACTCAGTATCACCTGTGTGCAGCTTACAAAAAACCATTGTGAGAAACATATATTATGCAGGAAATTGATACATTTGTTGAAAAACAAAGCTTATCTGATTTGGGAGGAAAAGTTTCATCCCTTTAACATCTGAGTTATTACTGAAGGCATAGCATGAATGATATTGGGTGTCTGAGGGTGTCATTACTGAGAAATGTCAAACAAAATCAAAACCTTACATTTGAAAACAGGTTTGCATTCCTCCACTTAAGGTGACGTTATCATTGGAAACAATAAAAGCTAATTGTTTTGATGTAGAATCTATACATTGAATCGTTAGAGCAGAACAGAATGGTTGTATTGTAGCCTGAGTTTTGTGCAGCCTTTAGTTTTACCAGGTGGAAACATTGTCTATATAATGTGAATACATGTAGAACTAGACATTAAGAGACCCCTGACATTAGGCCTATTTGAACAATAGTAGGGGCTTTTACCAGCTCGCCCACTTACAGGCGTCCTCTGCATAGCAGTATGAATAGCCTTAAAAACAACCCACTCTGCGGTAACGAGAGTCATGTATCTGAACCAAATGCCCTAAGTGAAGCCGTTAGTCTCATCTGACTGACCCAAGGGTTGGTGCTGGTGTGACAGGGAGGCTTCCAAGTGTTCATAGCAGATGTCATGCTTTCAGTTCATGGCTCAGTGGGGGGGAGCAGACCCATGTGAGACAGTATCAACAGCTGTAATGTTCAGTTTGAGGAGTGTCATTCTCTCGGAGCAGGAAATGGTGTCCATTCAGACCAGACCATTAATGTCATGTAGAGCAGCCATAGCATCTCTGTGACTGCACTCAGCCGGACTGCAGCAGGGCAGAACTGGGTGACTTTTAGTGAAGCCGTCCAAGGCCATAGACAAAATGGAACCACGTACTAACAAAAGGGACACAAGGTCATCAATGTCTCTCTTTACCTTTAGCCTAATTGTAAAACAAATTAGTGGAAGAAATGTGGAACACTAATCCATCATCATGTGACATTTAGAGTTAATTTAAATAATTACTTATGGGTTGAAGTCAAATTAACATTAACATTAGAACTAAAGTCAGTCAAAATTGGACGTGCACGGATCAGAATCTAATCAATACACCATTTTCCCAGCTCTGTAATGAAAAGGATATCAAGATTAGGTACATTACAGGAGTGTTAAAACATCCAAACATGCACACTTATCTTATTCTAGTAGAGATTAGAGGACAGGTCTAATGTTGTGAACAAAATGATCAAGTCAAAGTTATTTTATTTATTTTATCTTATGGACCACATTTAATTTAATAATTAATCTTAAATTACTAATAACTTTAAAGAAGGCAACAATTTACAATGTGGATAAGGTGACTACTTATCCAAAGTGTGGGTGTGTGTGTGTGTGTGTGTGTGTGTGTGTGTGTGTGTGTGTGTGTGTGTGTGTGTGTGTGTGTGTGTGTGTGTGTGTGTGTGTGTGTGTGTGTGTGTTGTGTGTGTGTGTGTGTGTGTGTGTGTGTGTGTGTGTGTGTGTGTGAACAGCTTGTCTGCCCAAGGTTAAAACATTTGGGACAGCAGTGAGAATGTTATGAGAAACAATTTGTTGCTTAGACTGAACTCGAAAGAAGCTAGACTGGAACATTTTAAATAAATCAAAACACTTGTACATTAATTAAATACATTTGACATTTAGCTTGAGCTGGGTTCAATACTTTCTTTATGGTATTTAAATTGGGCTCAAGTAGAACCTTTACATGGATTTGGCTTGCAACACAAAGTGATACCGATCTCTGTCTGTTATGATTTGAAAGTCTCATGATTTAAAGTGTAGGGCTGTGAAGGAGAGGCCCTTGGAAAACAACCTCTACTTCTTTGTTAACTGTAATTACTTATTGTAAAGAGATTGCAACATTAAACTTTTTAAAGAATTGCTCAATTCATTTAACACATTTATTATGCACACTGTAATGAAAACGTCAACAAATATATTGATCCTGGCTTAACCAGCGACCTTTACTCTTTTGTTCATAAGCTCGGTTTCAGAAAACTTGTCAGTAGTTTAACAACTATTATAATTTTAGTAATGTCTCTGGAGACCAATTGGTTGATACGAGAAATCATTTGAAGCAGTTTAATAAAGAATGTTAAACTATATTTGTGTGAGTTAAAGCTATAGACAAAAGCTGTGATTTTCTCCCTCTGAGTTCACTTCACCAGCCCATGCAGATACGGGGAGGTATTTTGCATCCCTGCGACTGCCTGTGCGGAACACATGCCCCGAGCAGCACACACAGAGGACACACACACCCGGAGCCGCAGCTGGAGCCGTGTTTTTTTTAGAGGCGCTGGGGGTAATATCTCTGGCTGCTTTAGTTAACTGATAGTGTTGGCCGCTGAAACCCCCGGAATCTCGGCGATTTGTTCATTACAAATCTCTATTTTGATTTCACACAGAAGTTCCACTTTACTGCTGCCCTCATTAAGGTTTTTTTTAAACATCTCCGTGTATGCCTGCACGGCACATACGTCCGAGCATCACACACAGAGGGAACCAGCCAGGACAGAGTCCCTGGATGATCCCCTGGGGTTACTAGCCCCAAATGTTCATTAACCAAAACGAAACGCAGCCGCTTAGCTTCACAGATAATTTTAGGATACCGTCAATCACAGATTCTGGTAAGGCAATGTCCAAATGTAGATTTGAAATCACACTTACCAGTCTCTGAAGATCTGTTGGTATCCTGCCGACAACGCCAATTTGTGGAGGAAACTTCTGTGTAGTAATGCATGGAGTCACCGACTCAGGAAGGAGACACGGTGAGAGTTGGAGCTTTGATGTCAAACACTGATGGGTTTATTCAGAGTATTCGGCCGGAGGATTCACATCACAAATCAAAGAGTCAGAGGTTCCGACTTCACGGTAGAGTTGCCACGTCAATTCTGAAGAACCTCTCTCTATGCTAGACCTTTTAACAGGTTCACAGAGAGAAATCAACATCTCTGAAGGAGTAGACTAAACACTGAATCACCTGCGTCCAACGCTCATGGCCTCAAGGATTTCACATCCGAGAGCCCACAAACACCGATAAAGAAGTGCCTCAGTGTTCTCACAACAATTACCCTACGTGCCAGTCAAGTTGACCGGTCTCACACTGGGGACAACAACACATATGGCACCAAGGCCTTTCCTTAAAGGAAATAACACATGTCAGAGTAAAAGGTTAGATATCTAGAAGAATTATTCCTTAACAGTACCTACCTACCTACCTACCTACCTACCTACCTACCTACCTACCTACCTACCTACCTACCTACCTACCTACCTACCTACCTACCTACCTACCTACCTACCTACCTACGTTTCAATAAACTATAAATATAATTTATTTTGGCTCTTAACCTATATACAGGGTGTACGCGGGGTCTTAAAATGTATTAAAAGTTGATAAATCAATTTAGCGAAAATGAAGGCTATTACAAAGTAGGGCTGTGCAATTAATCGTATTTTAATCGCAATTACGATTTTGGCCTGCCACAATTACGAAAACAACATAATCGAATAAAACAATTATTTTGCTTTGCTAGGTTGTGACTGCACTGCAACATATTTGATCTAATTCATTTTAGTCTAATTTATTTGTATTTATCATATTTACATATGTTTAGTAGCTTGTTGAAGTGCGCTCCAAAATATTTATTGATCTTGTATATTGGTATTTATTATTTAGATATTATTTATTTAAATGTTAATACAAATGTATCATTTTTTTATTGGTTTTTCAGTTGAATTATACGTTCAGGGTAATCAACAGTTAAAAAGACACTGTTCAAATTATTATTTGTATTTGTTTTAAAGTTCAATAAATGGATGTTTTCAAAGTCAATGAATAATCGTATTTAATAATCGTGATATCAATTATTGACCAAAATAATCGTGATTATGATTTTTGCCATAATCGCACAGCCCTATTAAAAAGTATTAAACGGCATTTTCCAAGGTATTACATTTTGTAGCTTGTTTTCAATAAGTATATAAATTGTCCAAAGAGGTTGTATTCTACAGTGTGCCTGAATGTAATCATTGCGTAGGTGTGTAGTGTGATTCTGTGTAGTTTATTTATGGCATCCCGTTGGGTTTGACGTCATCTGAACAGGACATCGCACGCTCACTGCTTGATAGCGCGCAAAGGTCCGTTTACGCCGGTTGTTAAACAACATCGTTATGGGGAAATGCAAGTCTGCGTCCAAATGGTTGGAAGATAAGGAGGAAGGACAATCAATACTGTATATAGTAAATGTGAGGTAAAGTGTGTCGCCAATGTAACCGGTTAGAACTCCAAGTGGCGATGAGGTCTTAAAATGTATGGAAAGGGTCTTAAAAAAGGTCTTAAAAGGGATTACATTTGACTTCAGGATTCCTGCATATACCCTGTATATATT